TTGGGCAAGAGTCAGTCCACATGTGAGTTTCCATTTTGCAGCTGATTACAGGAAAAGAATGAAAGTCTGATCAGCCAAAGATGAAACAGATCACAAGAAAAAGATTTCAGAATTTGAGGCACTATGAGGTACCAGCTTGAGACTAAGTTTAAGATTCAACATGTACATTTTGGTAACAAAAAAGTAACTCTTATTTATATTCTAAAGAGGAATTTGTGGGGATCCATTGTTTTCATGCAGCCCAGTACTGGTTTTTTTCATAATGGAGTGCATTATGACATTTAAAATGGAATTAACTATTAAATTATGTTCATTCTTAATCCTGTTTCATAACAAAAGAACAGTAATGCTACAGCAGAAATATTTACAACACTTCTGCAGACACACTTATGTTAGTTCATTTAAAAAACAGTAAGATTGTGTGCATGTGTACATTCTGCATAAGCAAAATTACAACACAGATAAAAAATAGAATGAATGTATTCCAGCTGATACTCACCTACATAGCATTCCATTCCAGAAGTCAGAGCAATGAAAGCTTTAACTGTGCACTCATAATACAAATGCACAAGACTAAAATGCTCTAAGATGTCTATTCCCATAATTCCCCAAAACCACACTACAGTCAAAAACTGGTGCTAAAAAGATCTGCATTAAATACTATTATCACTGCATATGTACAATACTTTCTTACAAGCAAAATGCTTACAAGTTTATGTAACTTAATATAATCTATACTAAAAAGTTCTTAAAGCCAGTGTGCAAAACAAAGCAGTAGTGTAATGATTTAATTTAAGCAGAACTAAAATGGAATGTCACTTTCATTGCTTAATTTTGTTAATGTCTAGGCACACACCATAACCAAATAAATATTCTATATTTTTTACAGGCAAAAACTTAACTAATGAAAAGGATTACCTGCATCATCAGGTGTCCATGGATTACGAGTTGGCTTTTCAGAGGTTGGTCCCGAGGTAGTGATCATTCTCACACTAGGACTAGATGATCTACTGCTGTTTCTACTCTCCTGAAATGATAACAGGAAAAAAAAAAAAATTTACAAGAAAAGTTAACAGAAGATTTTTTGAAGGGTTCATTTTAAAAAAACATTATTAAAAAGAAAAATAAATGTGAAGAAACCTGAACCTATAATCCTCCCAAATACCCTCCTCCCCAACCTTTTACCCTGAAAGCTCTCCAGATAGTTTGATAAACTTTACATGCATTGCAGGGATAATTTCATCCTCATTTCTACTCCATCTTTACTGTATAAAAAGAAATGGATAGAATTTGGCTATTCAGCATAATAAAAAGCAGTGCTGAACAATGTGTTCAGGATCTTTATATAAAAGTGTGACATTACATCTAGTAATTTTCACATCACCATTCAGTGAAATCTAGCAGCTCCATAACATAAGGAAGAAATAAAGGTTTGTTTCCAATGTTCAATCAATGAATGGAACTACATTCAACTAAAGGAATGCGGCTTAGTAACTGCACTAGACTGCGGTGTATTAATCTACAGTTTTCTTATGGTTCTTACGTTAACTCAGAAAACATGAAAAAAGTGTTTAATCAAAAAGGATCAATCAATTAAAGCAAAGCAATTGAGTACATTCTCTCTCACAAAGCAAAGTAAGAACTAAAAACAAAATTCTCTAGGACGTTCCTTTATATACAGCTTGACTCCTCCAATCCTTTTGCGTACCAAAGCGCAAAAACGTAATACGGACTTCATTATTCTACTGAGCTTCTTTTTAAGAATTATTATTTACAATGTATATTCTTGTATTTCATATGGCCCCTCATCAACATAAAATTAACACAGTATAGGACTTAAGACTATAAATCCCAGCGAGTGTTGCAGGAAAAAAATGAAGTAAAAAGAATAGATGCTACTAAAATACAACTGTTTTCAATATGCTGTATTTATCATGAAATGATTAATTAAATGTCCCTATTTTTCAAAAGAAGCACTCAAATATGCATTATCTGGAAACTGTATTTCTTTATGACTCTTATTTCCAAATATCCTATCTTAATTTAATTTTTAAAAGCCAGGATTTCAGTCAAGTAACAATCCAAAGAGTAACAAGATTCTACACACTGAAATATCCATTATTTCAACTGCGTTACGTTTGTCCTGTAATTTTTATTAACTATCTAGTGTTTTATGTTAGTAGCCAGAAACAGGGCAATAAACTGTTGTAGAAATAATCCGATGGATGATATTATCAGGATGACAAGATCATTTTGAGAAAGCTTTTGTGTTGGAGTCTTTGTTGACTTTAAGCAAGGTTTAAGTTGCCGAGCTTGCTTCTTACTGTCAGTGTCCTCAGATATGAATGATAAACACACTCTGCTGATGTGCAAGGTCAGAAGACAGAGCAAGCACTTTTAACAGCATGTAAGTCCTTTAAGCAAAAAGAGATTTGTTGAGTATCTACAATTGATAGCAAAAGGCACCTGAGAACTACTCTAGTTACAGTAACTTCTCAACGCAGTACTAGATTGCTTGCTGTACCAGATTGTTTTGATCCATCAACAGAAAAAAACCCACTTCCTTGGTAACATTATTTAGACAAAATTACTAGAGATAGAAATGAAGGATTCGCATCTGAAGCATATCTAAAAAGCACTGCAAAGTCCAAGGGAAGTTCCCAAAACTGAACACCTGTTAGATTACGGCGTTTGAGTGCGTGTTGAGTGAGATGCTTTAGGCCTCCTAGATGCCAGCCCCTCTGACAGGTCAGCTAGTGACTGTTCTTTAGCAATCAGTTTCTGCTACCCTTTCACGGGTATCCTTCCATCCTTGCTTCCTCCAGGTATCTCAGTACGCTCAACAGACTTGTTATCAGGTTACTCTCAAATCATCTTTGCCAGGTGGCCAAAGCCACATGGCATTGTTAGCTTTTTAGCTTTCATTTCTCAAAGACCTGCAGTCTTAAAAAGCTGGCGTGCTCTGAGGAATAATCCCCGCCTCAAGTTTAATTTAAATGGGCAACCCAATTTAAAGAAATCATTGTTACTAGCCCTGTCTCCTCATCTGTGGATTTTATCTTGCTGTGAAAGGGGGGCGGGGGGGAAGTATCTGTGACCAATTTCACAATCTCGTGGACAGAATGATTCATCTGTATAATATCAGATCCCCCAAATCATCACACTTAGCTTGCATGCCTGTGGGCATGTACATTCTGACCTTGCTTCTCAACTGTTCAATACAGTACATGGTTTTCTTTAATATATTAATTTGTTTTTCCACTTCAAAGTAAACTGGAAGTGTTATGAAGGCCCAGCAACAGTTATTAAAAAAAAAAAAAGATTTAGAAGAGGTAGTTTTGATATTACAATACCACTGTATTTGATATTACAATACCACTGTGCACAGAGCAGCAAGCAGAGGTTGGAAAGCTTTGTTAAACATGAAGAATGATGTACCAAAACAACCAACCCAATAAAAGATACACAGGCAAGGACATGGATACCTTACTAGGCATCTGATCACAACCTGCAGTTCTTGAGTGATTATACCAAATATGTTTCTCAATATCTGTATAAAGTATCAAATTCTGTAAAGACTCTATCCAGTGTAAATAGCAGGTTCGCTGTGTTCCTTCAAGCCCCTGAAAGTTTTTATGGCTGCAGTTCAGAATCTGTACATCTGTTTCTGTGTTACGAAGGTGTTTCAGCAAGGGCAGTAGTGCTGGACAGACAGCACAATACAATGTTTTAAAATGGAAATGGAAAGGCAGAAGAAACAGTTCAGTACAAAAAAAAAATTATGTGGAAAAATGAATAGAGCATCACAATATATGGATGGAAACAAACAGAAATGTAGCATCTGACTATACAGAGAGGGTTGCATCAGTGCTGCTCAAGTCACTTGGAGTAAGGTCCAGTCCAAAGTCACCAAGCACTACAGAAATCTGTGAAAAATCAGACTTAAACACATGGTCTCAACACTGGCCCACTCCAACAGCTGATCCAATGATGGAACACCTTTGGCTTAGCATATTTTCCTAAACTGTTGATGTAAAAGGGTCAGTTGAGTAGTAAAATCATCTGCAAAGCACTATTACCGCCTGCTGTTGATAACATCAGTAAGAGCAATACTGGAAAATGCATTAAGTGCCTCAACAACATAAAAATAGTAATCATCAGCCATACAAACCACACAAAAAATTCTTCTAACAGTACACAGAAATAAAATACACATACAATCATAAAACATACAAGAAGGTCAGATTAAAACAGACCAGCAATTAAGCAGGGAGACAAGAGTCTTGGTCTACCCTTTCAGGTAAGCACCCCAAACTTTGGTATATTTAATATTATCAAGTCCGGTGTTTTCCTCCACCTTAACAAATATTTCATTCTGAATTGGAAAAACCTTCTTGATTAAAGAAATAGTTATAACAGAATAATTTTCTATTGACACAGCGGCAATTTTCAGGGAAAACATGTTTAATAGAAAGATTTCTGATCACCTTTAGTGTGTCAGTCAAATAGTTAAAAAAAAGAAAAGCGGCACTGTGGCAATACTTCAATTTTGAGCAGTATAGGGGTTTACAAGGGCTGGGTGCGGAGGCACGCAGTGCCATGGCAGCTCGGTGAAGAAGGCTGCGCCGCAGGGTGGGTGTAAAGGAGAATGGAATGCAGGGAAGAAGGATGTTTGCAATGAAGGGAGGGAGGGAGGGGGAAGAGGATTTTCATATTAGAAAGGATAACCTATATATGGTATGGTGCATACAGGGAGATATGACGTCCCCAAACTGACCAGAGCTACGCTAGTCACAGGTGTTTCTTCTGCTTTGGCTAGTAGATTGCTTATATGGATAGCAGTTCAAGATTTTTAACAAAAATCCCAAGGCAGTGAGGTCCAGAGCTACAGAAACCCGTAAAGAATAACATTAAGTCTTTTGCCATAATTACATTGTGCTTGCTTTCTTCGTTGTTTCCCGATTTTTTTTTTTTTTAAATATACAAACATATGTATGTCAACAGTTCGCATTAGTTTCGGCAGACTTTTCTATCTCTTTTCACACCAAAAAGGGGATGAAAATTCATTATTTGTTTATATAGACAGTGCAAAAATTTCTTTCAAAGTGCACTTTCCATGCCTGTTAAAATATTATGTTTTCCAGATTTTATCATAACGTTTCCAAAAACTGCAAGATAGAAGCAGATAATTGTAATTCTTCCACTTAGATTTCCAATATGTACACTATCAGAAGCAAGAAAGTAAAATGTGACCCACATCAGAAATTAGTGAGGTAAATAAAAAAACTTCTCTGTATCCTCCTGGTCACAAGGACAATCCAGCTAGAACATCCATACAAGCTGTAGAACAGCTTTCAAAGAAAGACTATTATAATAGTTATTAAGATATGAAGTAAATGCTGAAATCCTATATTTTAAAATATTAACCATTCATTAAAATGAACAGAATGAAAAATTTGAAATAAAAAAAAGCTATAAATATATTCATACATCAATCAGTGCTATTTGGTATAACTGATGTACTGTTACTTAATTTTTTTCCCCCAAGTAATTTTAGTTCTACGATTAACTGAATAGGCTAATCTATTTCTTTATTAAATTTTGCAGATTCATTTCTTTCTAACAAACTTGTCTTCTCTGAAGATATTAAAATGTATTTAAGACTCATTTGTTATTTTCTGATAGATGTATATAGTAAATTCTGCTCATAATACCTGGGGGATTGATGAGGTTTGTGTGGCTATCACACTCCAGGAAATTAATGAAGGATCAAATGTTGATCTCCCTGATAACTACACACCCCCAAAATTACCACCTATTTTAGATTATTGCAGTAGGTTTTTTAATATGGAAACCTGGTTAACCTAATCAATATGCTAAGCTCCAGTTTCCCACACCCAAATAATAGTAGGGATCTCAAATTTGCCAATTCACACTAACAACCAAATAGCCTCTGTGAATTACTGAAACAGACAACGAAGCAATTAAAAACACAAAATAAACACAGCTGAATGAAGCATTAGCTGTACTTTTCTCATTTAACATGTTCTTAGTTTAATTTCTTTTTAGTTTAATTTCAATTTTATATAGCATACCACTATGTCTGTTACCATAGCACTTATGATACCAGATAAGAAGCTTTGTCATTATAAAATATCTTACTGAGACAGTCTTTTTTTAAACAAAACTTTGTAACAGCACCCTCCTGTAAATCTTTCACAACAAATGGAGAGATACTACTGTAAGTTACTCTACAGGGTTCCAAGATTGATACTAAATACATTTATAATACTGATGCGCGTACTTTTTATTTTTATGCAAAAAGTGAGTCTAATGTATGTATAACTGCTTCAGACAATCATAAGTAGTAACTGCAATTGTTTTCTACATATAGAGAGGTGAAAAGGCTTTCCTGCATAACATCTGCCCTCAGCCAAATTAAGTGGTACACAAAAACTATGTGTACATAAAAATGATAAATGCTGCATGAGCTAAACAGAAAACACTTCTCATCTAGAGCTCATTCATAGATTACCCTCATGGAATCTCATTTAAATGCAATACAAAAGACACTACAGTCTGCCAAGCTTCCACATCATTTCTACGAAAGCATCAAAGGTGAAGATTTCCAGACCAGTTTCCCTGTACAGATTTGGTGTCGACCTTACTGAAAGATAAAGAAGAGACGAGAAAGACATTACCTGACTGGACTCTGTTCCAGCAACACTAAGATCTTGAATGGATCTGCGCCTCTGCTGTCCGTTTCCTGCTGGGAAAAAAACAAAACAAAAACAAACCAGTGAAATCTATTCAGAACAAAATAAGAAGGGTGCGACTGTTGCAGAGGAGCTTGGAATTTGTACAAATCCACAGAGAGAAAGTGAGAGAGGGGGAGAGAGAGACAGCTGCAGAATTTTAACTCAAAACATGCTGGCCTGTCAACAAAAAGTATACCCTAATACAATAACCACTCCTACCACATGAATAGCTGCTGCACTCTACTCCACCATCTTCTGTCACATGTATTTGGTCAGGCTTAGTACTCGGGGCAGGAGCTGATGACGACATCTATTTCAAGTGCGTTACGTTATGGGGATTTCTAAAAGCTAGACTGCGAAGATAACAGGCTGCCAGCTTTAACCTGTTGCTCTTTGGCATGCTCAAGGAACACAGCAAGTACTTCTGCCCACGTGCCGCTCCCCTCACGAAAATTAAGAAGCGAAAGCGCTTCCTTCTGGTCTTTGTCTCCTTCAGATGAACGGAACTATGTCCTATTCTCATGCTCTGAGAAGTGTGAAAAGCGGACTGCTCAGCTAAATCGCATCTCACCATCAACCTACTGAGCACAATGCTGTAATCTTTTCCTCTTCTCCTTCCACCTGTTAGCAATTATCCACCACTGACAGCTACATAAAACAGTTTAAATTTTAACACTGACACGCAATCAAAGGCATTTCCAGGAAACAAAGTCTCCTTAAAAATAAAAGGAGATTATGCAATGGAATCTCCCTGGCTACTTTGATTTTTATTACGGTGATTGTTTATATTGCCTCTTGAGAGCAGGTCAGCTGTCCAAAAGGAAACACCAAAACGTCCTGAGTAACAGCTGACAATGCTCAAAATTCTTGCTCTCAGCTCTGCATTACGTAACTTTTCTAGCGGAGGGGAGCATCTGAAACACGTCCTGCAGCCATGGCAGCCCCTCGCCCAGCAGCCCTGCACCCATCAGCCAACCCAGCTCACTCAAAGCCCTGTGACAGGCACCGCATTTTTAACCTTTTAGATACTTCTTATTCAGCGTCATTTCCGTATGACTCCACAGCCTCTCTTGGCAGTGTTTTGATTTGCAACAGTTACTACAAAAACGTAAGACTATGTAATATTAATCAATACATTTAATGGTATCATACTTCAAATTTTTAAATATAGGTACTATTACATGTAGGAACACATTACCACAAAACAGCAATACAAAATTCTCAGTGTCACTTTACCAATTTGTCGTGACATTTTATAGTCTAAAATTTATAGAAAGTACTATAAGAAACAACCATATAAGAAAATCAAGAAGGATTCTAGAACGGGAATATATTCTTTGCTCTGGCTACAAATGAATTCGAATTGCAACTTTTCTGTGGTCTGGTCTTGACATTTTGCTTCTGAAAATTCAGGGAAAGTATATACTTACCTAAGCAACAATGGCTATATGTTGTTTAATACTTCGATCGTGTGAATGACAAATCTATTTCAAAATTTCTGAACTTGTTCATTTGCAGTGAATTTTTTCACTACCTAATCATTTAACAAACAAGTTTATACATTTAATAGAATTCTGTGCTGTGGATACTTCATCTGGCTGCCACAGCTCATCTCAATATTCAAGATATGGGCGATCCACCCACGACTGATACAAAATTATGTGCACGTTTCATTCAACAACACTGTTATAAAATTAGCTCAGCTGAAACAGGCTTGCAAAAATATCTGAAATTCTCATTTCAGATTAGCAACATTTGTGAATTTAAAGAACCCGGCACATGTGTTGCTGAAATATTAGAACATGGCTGCCAAAATGTTAAAATAATCAGGGTGGGGTGCAAGAAAGAAAAGAAAATGCCTCGGGGGGGAGAAAGAGGGGCCAAAACTACTGTGTTGTAATAAATGAACACCTTTAAATGAAATATCTTCAAGTTAGTAGCATGAGGGAAGAGCAAGCTCTAATAGGCAATGCCATTTTAATTAGTGTCTGCAGACATCTGGCAAATAGCTTTGACAAAGCAGAAACAGACTACGAATCAACAAATACTTATTGCTCCAGATTCAAAACAAATTTCAATTGAAAAATATACAACATATAATCTTTCTTTGAAATGATCACTGCTACCTCTCTATCCTTTCATCTCACAGTTTTGATCTTGTTCTTACCTCTACATCCATTTAAAACTAATTTTTTCTCATTATAAAAAGTATGAGATTTGTAAATGCACAGAAGTTAATATACAGTAGCTTGATGCACTATGTCAGGATTTCAGTGGTTTACAGGATTTTAAGATTAAAAATCAAACATCACAAACATACCTCCCAGCCTCAAAAAAACCATTTCACATACTGTTGTTTATTTTTTAAAATGAAATTGAAAAGGAACAGGAAACTTCCATCGTGTGCTACCCCACATACTGCAGCAAAAACAAATTCTACAACTTATTAAGGCTTTTGATCACACCCCACCCCACCCTCCC